AATAATAATAATAATAATAATAATAATAATAATAATAATAATAAAAACAGAAATCGGGCTCTAAATAAATGATAACGTCAAATGAAGGAATAATAAATGCAATACTTTCTCATTCTAATATATCAATTTATTCTTGATCTGTTTATGCTTTAATATCTTTTCCTGGAGAATTATTTTCCATATAAGGGAATTACTGCTGAAATAACAGACGGGCCTAGTCCTTTTTCGTTAGAAACCTGGCGAATCCAGGAGGGCCTGGGACTACCTTTGAAGCCAACTAATGCCCAGGAACCACGGTAAGAAGGAAGGACCGGAGCTTCAGCATAAATGCTTCTAAGAGCATCCTCCGCATCCCCGATAAACGAATCCCCGGTATCTTGGACCGCTATCAAAACGATGGTGTTCATAGGTAGGGCCTTTATAAAGGCGTCTAGCTTAGCCCCTGCTTGCAAGTCTCCATACGTGTCGAAGGACGCCTTCTGTAGAAATGTCCCCTCTTGATTCAAAGCAACAACGTTGTGACCCCGTTTCTGGTTTGTTCAAAATAAAAGGAAAAAAATACAGATGTAGTGAGGTTACACTGGGTATGCTTTCAAGAGAGGAAAGACGACCAAGCAATACAGATACATATGATCAATTCATTCATTATTTCTTTGATTATGGCGAATAATCATTACAAACCTGCAAACTGCCTTCGATACCATCCACTTCAATGGACGAAAAACCACACCTCGATAGACTATCTTCACAGCCTTCCGATAGGATTTTGACGTGAATGGGCTCTGAAATAAAATAAACAATTTTGGACAACATTTAAATTTAGAAATTTGAATCCCAAAGCCTTTTCTTACAAACAATGAAGATCTTCAGTTGTTTTCTTTACACTGTTTAATAGATAGATGAACTTAATTTCAACGCATGGCCCATTCACCTTTAAGGTTAGATCCTACATCAATCCTAATTTGCCACTCCATCTCACCATTGACGTGAAATGCTCGTTGTTACTCTGGCATTTCATTGCATTCCAAGAAATTGATTATATTGCGCATGCGTAGTGCGAATAGGGTTCTCGCCTATTCTCGACAATTGCGTCACAGGACGAGCAAAATAACAAGAATGTTAAAATGATACGTACCAGTATCACATCCATAGATTTCGACTTTCATACACACGTTCCTATCAAAACCTGTCGGAATGAACCGCAAGAAGCGCATTTCTACTGGGTCTTGGAAGGTGCGGAGAACGGCGGCAGATCTGTCTGAATTGCCCTGAAAAACCTTCAACAGAAAACAAAAATTAGAATATTGGTTTTAACTGGTCGACCCCTATGTGCAAGTTGAACTCTGACTCATAAATCACAAGAGACCTTAGGATGTACGCAGAGTCTTCAATTCAGCGTTATTGAATATTTGCACATGCGCACTTGCGCTTCAATTCTTGTGTTATTTTTAGCTCATCTATTATGTTAAAGTGTTGAATTTTATTTTCAAAGAAAACTAATGTTTGAGATGTTCCTTTCGATAAATTGATCATCAAGGATCATATTTCCAGACACCAAGTGCTTAGCGTGCATGGCATATGCATCCCACGATCGCGATCCCACGTCGCGATCCCACGACGAATTACAGGCTAATCTTAACCATAGAGAGGTTTTGAACCATCACGTGCCGGCGCATATAATAAAGCTTAGACTGCCTATTGTTAGTTGGCAGAACGCCAAAATCCCTTTCGGGAATTGAATTCTTTCTCATGTAAAATGATTGTATTGACGTTCCTGCCATCTAACATGGCTGCCGTCACGTAATGGTGCAAAGCATCTATTGTTATATGCGGCTTCAATATCAATGACTGCATTTCAATCGCAATATCAAAAAAATTATTTGTAAACTCTTACCCTTATTAGACCATTTTCTTTGTATATCGTAAAAGTGAAGTTATCTTTGCTGTAAGAAAGCTGATAGGTCTTCRCCCATGCTCGTTGATCGTAACTACCCTGTGTATTCACGGCTGATACGACGTGTAGGTGTCCCAGATCCACTTGTAACCACTGGTCAACACTACTGGCGGCGCACCAGGATATGGGGTTCGTCTTGTAGTTGGTTGTTAGGCGACCAAATTTAGGAGCTGTATTCAAGGAGAGCTGCGATGAAGCAGTGAGAGCAGAGTCTGGGATGACCAAAGGATCGGACACACCTAGTGGTAAGTTGCATTCTAGAAAACATAATAGAAGTTTTTTTTAGCAAGAGAATATATATATTGCATAAACTTTGACCCTTTTATATATATTTACAAGGATATCAAAAGTATATCAAAAATTATGGGATATCCTCACTGATATTTTTTTCATATATATAGACCAAATGCAAAACTTGCACCGATGTGAGGCTTAAGTTTTGAACAAAGGGATCTGGCATGATTCGTGACTTTTAAATCACGCCAGATTGCTTTGAATCACGCCAGATCACTTTCACAACTTGAGCCTCACATCGTTGCGAGTTTTGCATTTGGTCTATATATATATTAGCATTTCAAATTTCTTGAGCAGGCACTATAATGGGCAGTCACGAGAGAAGGCTGCCATATTTGTTTACCAAACAATAAAAACTTCAATTCCCCGAGGATCGGAAAATGTATATTGTTTTGGTACACCACCATGTCACGTAAAAACGATCTATAGTAAAGGCCATGACAGACCGTCCTAACATTTGATCTAATATTTTAGCCAACAATTTTTATTTGTTGAAGCAGAAGGTGGGACTGATTGTCATGATCTGCCCATATATCTTTTCGACTAGGGCATGGTGTTATCATCCCATTTAAATTTCAGACAACATGTCATTCTTTCTAGAATAAGATTTTTTCGAGTTAAATCCATATTTACGTGTCTTCTAAGTTCAACAATTAAAGAAAGAAATAATACTCTTGGGAATTCAACGTGGTCTCAAATGAGAAAAGATTACGCCAAAGCCGAAAAGGTCTATAAAAAGTAGCTGCTATTCCACTTGCTGAAAAAAATCCGTTCCAAGTCACGTGCGCAAAACTAACCTGGCAGAGCAACCCAAAATATTTTAACGGGGTCGTAGGTTCCTTCGTCGTTAAGCTCCTTGATGCAAACTCTGAAGCCCAGATGGTTGATATTCTGTGGATCGTGGAAATTATTCATAAGTGGTTTCAATAAGGTGGGCATGGAAAGGATTGTTTAATTTATTCAAGTTAGCCAATCGAAAACAGTAGCAGTTATTCGCCAATCCGAGGTTAAGGAAAAGACTAGGTTAAGTTAGCATTGCAGTGCCTTTTTTTAGAGGAAATATTTCAAGATGGCGTCTATTTTGTTCCCTAAAACAGCCCCACAATGCACTGCAATGCAACTCGACCCAGTTTCCCCCCTCAATCTCGGAAAGGTTAATAGGACTAATTTGTGTCGATGGCTGAAAAATAATTACTGGCAAGTGATTGTTGGTCTTTATTACGTTCACATGATAATGAAATGCGTTGACCCGCTCGAGCAAATATAGTACATCCATTTATATTTAATGCGAATCGATCTTAATTACCTCTATCCATGATGCAATGCTGTTATGCTTGGGAGGCATGGCCCCAGTCACGGTGGAATTATGGGTAGCACTCATCAAGACAGTTGGAACATTACGGTATGCAGTTCGGAACTCTACTGACTAATAAAATAAATATTCATTGAATTATCTTCATTCATTCAATAGACCTTGGAAAATCCAGCAAATTTCCGCTGTGTTTCTTGACTACGGAGTCATTTACTCATGCAGGCTTATCCTCCTATCAGTGTCTAAATATTCACAAATATAATACCAACGGTAAAGTATATTCGGATAAGATATTCTGCCTAAAATCGAGGCTCAATCTGAGCAACAGAGAACTCAAAACTGGAGTATTGTTTTCACTGAATACGGACCATTTATATATGCAGCCATGTTGTAGGGCAATAAACAACAAGAATTTTCTCCTTGGTGAATTAAAATGACTTGTGCGTAAACATTGCATCGTTTCAGCTCTTCAACTCGTGAAACCTCTCTATTGGATAAATTCCTATCCACCATGTTAGAATTAATCTCAATTGCAATGTAAATGCTTAAGAACATACACCTGTTGCCTTACCTTGCAGTAAGCATGTCGATCGGAATCCAGAGGCAACTGGTCGTTTTCAAAAAACAAAGAACTTCGTTCAGAAAATAGGTTCCTTGGTAAGTCTTCAAATGCCATCCAGTTCTGGGAGAAAAGATTAGAGAAATGGTAAATATCTTTATGCAATTTGATTCCTGTCCATTTTTGCTAGATTTGTGCGCCGTTTGTAAAGTTAAATTTAGYACTAGAGATAGAGGGCATGAATATATGGCTGGAGACTGAAGAGATCAGTTCTTTTAAAAGTGGAGAAAGTTAACACACCAAATTGTGGTATTTCAGAATATATATATAATGGCCAACCAGCGACGACCAAAAGTGCAAGTCAATAAAATATAAAGTACTTACCACATTGATATTCTTATGTATGCCATCGAAGTCCTGCAACTCTCTCATGCAGACTTTGAAGGTGCTGGATGTGACATCCTCAGTCCATAGAGTTGCTGCATCGTGTTTGAGCCCAATGCGAGTATGTTCAGCGGTCAACAACACCGAAGGTGAAGAGAAGAACTTGTCCTAAAAATACATGCCTCATATTCAAATTTCCACGTGAAAACTAAAGCCGGTAACTTCTAAAGTCAAGTTTCCATCCATACTTACCAATGGCAAACTGAGTGCCTTGCAAGTTGTTCCTTCCCACCAATCAGACATTACTTCTTCCCCTACCACCCCTCCCTTGGGCGATCCTTGGAATGCAATCCAGTCGATGAAAGTCTTACCAAAGTTAGTGGGGACAGTTCCTTCATACTCATTCCTGCCAGCCTTAAGTGCACATACAGTGAATTTTGAGTGGCTGATTTTCTCGACCCAGTTGGTGATAGCGTCGTGTACGACACTCGTGTGCTCGGTGTCGTGGTTTACCGTTGCAAGGACGTGGACTTGTAAATTAGAGTACCATAAGCTGCCGTTGTAGGTGACTTCAACACATTGTACATCAATGATATCGAGTAGGAGCTGAGCCCGACCACGCTGTAAAATGAATGCTGCAAGGAGACGAACAGTGAGAAGAAAGAAAAGAAAGGGAGGGCGGACTTGAAAGTGAGAGAAATAGAAAAGAAGGAAGGCATCAAAATCAAAACTACAAAAACAGCTAAGAAGAGAAGAAAAGATAAAAGAAAGATCGATTTATAGCGATTATAAGATAATAAAAATGAAAAATGATAGAGGAAGACATTTCAAAGAGCGTGAAAAAAGAAACAACGAAAAGAAGCATTTCTATAAGAAAGGAGAATTAAAGGAAATCATGGGAGGGCTAGAAAAGGATAGAAAAGAAAAGGAGATATCGAAGAGAGAAAAGAAAAATGGAAGCAAGGGAGGGAGGAAGGAAGGAAGGATCGACGAATGTGTAAAAGAAGGATCAGTGAATGAAGAGGATCGACGAAGAAAGGAAAGAAGGAAGCATGCGCAAGAAAGCAAGGAAGGAAAAAACGAGGAACGAAGTAAGTAAGCAAGCAGGCGAGGAAGGAAGAGAGGAAGGAAGTGGGGAAGCGATCGAGCAAGTGTGGAAGGAAAAAAACGAGGAATGAAACAAGCAAGCAAGCAAGCATGCAAGCATGCAAGAAATAAAGAAAGGAGTTATCTACGTTAGAAAAAATAAAGAAACTTACGTCTACAACTGCCAGAGTGTGCAATAGGTATATTCTGTTTGTTTTGGCACATGGATCTTTGAAAGAGACACTCATTGTCATAGGTTATGCCTGCTGAACTACATAGCATGTTCTCGTATGTAGGACACTGGTAATCACACACACAACGAGCATCAGATGGACCAAAGGCTACGCACTGTCCGTAGAAACTACAAACTACATCCAGACATGGATCCAGATCTGAAAATGGATTGAAAATAAAKTCGTTAAAGAATACGAAAGATTTTAGACGTTCCTATTGCTTTTAAAGCGACATGAGTGGCACGGCACGTCGATGCGTACTTTGAGTTTTTCACAGTCATACCAAATAGGACCTTTGTATCAAACAGACACCTTCATGACGAATGAATTCAGCCAATTGCAAGCCGAGATTGTGCATGGCGTGCTCGAAAATTTTGATTCAGTGATCTCGCGTGTAGAGATTGGTTCAAAAGATACAATTGTAAACTGAATGGATAGAACTGTGGTGTAATAATGTTAGAATGTTGATCATCACAGTGAATAAGTGATCTAAGCGAACGCTGTTGGTTCTGGGTTGGTTTTTTTTATTTGGTTCTGCAAATCATTGCCTGTGCATCCCCCCCCCGCAAGATCTCTGGTTACGCCACTGGAGGCAAACCCTGAGCAACAGGGGGCTCGAAATTGGAGTCAGTATAAGATGTTCTCGCCCAAATAATAGTCTATAGTCTTACCTCCCAAAGCAAGAAACTGAATATCGAGGGGAGTGTGCCTGCCTCGCAGTTTTTGACCATCTTTCATGCAAACTTCAAAACCATTCACATCCAATTTCTAAAAAAGGCAAAGTTAAGCTTACTATAAGGAAGACATAGAATAACGGGCGCGTTTCTCCTAACCCTTCCGTTGTGTTCTACCAACCCCCGCGTGCTTTATAACTGCACGCACCACAGAAAGCAATATTTTTTATTTCATTTGCAAATTACAATAACCGTTATTTTGGATGAGATCGATAGACGCCTTAGAAAGGGCGAGCGCGTGATGTGTGATCTAATTAGGCACGATTTGAGACTTTATATAAAACTGGATGTCACGCAACCAGTACCGTGGCTACAGAGACGTTTTGGACTATCGCCTTTTCGAGCTATTCCATGCACTTCCCAACGTTCGAATGATCCGAACGCATCACTTCCCAAACTAACATGTCAATTTTATACAAGATCTGAGTGCTCATTTTGTCCATATACCTATACTTACTTCTATCCAGTTTGATAAGGTATTGGTGGCTGGTGATATTGAGCGTGGGTTACCAGGTTCATAAGTATGAGAAGCGCAAGTAATGATGACAGGCGGCTCGTAAAACTTGTAGTCAAAGGTACTAATCTAAAAACAAAAAATGAAAAATAATATCTGTGCCTCAGTGCGGCATCGTAACAGGCCATTGACGTCCAGCGTCTGCTAGCAGAGTAGAGTTACGCATGGTGCGCGTTTCAATTATTTTTTATTCTGACATAGACCCCAATGCACTAAATATCTAACTACTTTATCAAAAAATTATTTAAATCCTCAAGAGAAGGGAATCCTGTTGGTTTGAACCCGAAGTTTTCTAAAGTTTTGATTGGCTGATTTGTTCTTGTACACTGTGATTGGTCTTGCAGTGCCGTAATCTTGCGCGACCGAGTCCGCGCTGTGTTAATGCCGTGTTCTTGATTGGATAGAGCAATTTCTCGCGCAATGTCATTGCCATGGTGTGGCGTGCGCCTTGCCGTTTCACAACCGCGTTCGTGCCGCAGGTTTTTCACAGTCATACGAAAACTGTTCTAATAGCCAGTGCCTAACAAAACTATGCCCATTGTTTCATGATCCAATTGGAATTTAGAAATGGATTTTAGCGAAAGGAAGGAAATCATAGAGCCTCGGAGACAAACTCTTAAAGCATAGTAAAGAGCCGACATACAAGGAACAAAGGATCGAACCCACGAACATTGCGGTGAGGGTTGACACAAGCCTTTCGTTTTGCATTATGAATAAATCAAGAAGACCCACCATGCAAAAGCTGTACTTTCTCCCCTTTGGTGGAACACCTTCGTTTAACATTTTCATCATCTTCTTTTCTTTTGCTTTCCAGTTTCCTGGTTTTATTAGCATTGCCATCCAGTCCTAAAAACACACCATGGTCAATCTGCTTCATAACTAAGCGTGGGGTCCAGTGGCAGACCCGGGAATTTTGTAAGGGGTAACTATTACAAATGTTTTACTGTCAGGAATGCAGGGTGGCGTACTAAGATTAATACTAAGACTAAGGGGGGGGGGGGGGGGGGGGTGTGACTAGTCACACCCCTTACCACTCCTGGATCCGCCATTTGGGGTTGTGCGTAATTTCCTTTGTTACATTTGAGACGTAGAGAAAAGAGATAATAAAAGAGAGAGAGGGAGATGGAGAGAGTGACAGACAACGTAGGGACGGACAGACAGAAAGGCAGGCAGGCAGACGCAAAGTCTTACTAACCACTTCAATAGCTGCGTGTTCACCATTAAAATTTTTCAATTCTCGGAGACAAACTTTGAATGATTTAGGGCCAACGTCTTCTACCCATATTGCAGCAGCATCTCTGTTAGCCTCTTTCTGTCCATTATGTACCGCAGTGGCGTATACATCTGGTTTCCCTCCAAAAGTCTGTATTCAAAATGGAGAAACGATGCCAAAATTTATCAACGAAAGTGACTACATTGGATAAATAGGTTGCTATCAGGAGGAAGAGGAGGAAGACGAGGAAGACGAGGAGGAGGAGGAGGAGAAGGAGAAGGAGGAGGAGAAGGAGAAGGAGAGGA